CAAATAGTGTTAGAATCCCTTCTTTCAAATAGTGGTTTAACCTACAGTATTACCTAAAGGTGTGTGTAAATTAAAAAATTAGTCACTTAATATTAAGATCTATTGATATTTTTTTTATTTGTAAGTGAAAGATTTTAAATAGTGGTTTAACCTACAGTATTACCTAAAGGTGTGTGTAAATTAAAAAATTAGTCACTTAATATTAAGATCTAATGATATTTTTTTATTTGTAAGTGAAAGATTTTAAATTCGACTTCCATGAATTAAAAGTTTGAAACTAAATTATGTCTTACCAATTCAACACCCTTGCCCCAGACTAACTTTAGTGTTAATGTACCCCATATATAAATCTCCGTCAGAAATTCCACTGAAAGTTATCAGTTGTTGCGCACTAGATCATTTTCAAGTGTATTTTGATCAATCCATGACCTCTAGATGACTTTGGACTAAGAAACTCATTGAGTACAAGTATTCGAGAGAACAGAAAATTTGTCCCACAAACTTTAGTATTCTTATTCCAAGTCATACGGGGTTTAAATGTAAAAAAATAAAAAATATTTGAAAAAGGGATCACATGCATTACTAATGATATGTTTGAACTAATTTAAGCAAAAAATAATGGAAGTATTCACACAATTATGAATTTAGATGAGAAATTGAAAAAAAAATTAAGGGTTGTATTCAATTGAGATTTTGAAAGACTTTAATTGATTTTACAAATTTAGAGGTATTCAATTAGGATTTTAAGTGATTCTCTAAAAGTCTAGATGTATTCAATTAGAATTTAAATGAATTTATAACATTTCAGGTGTATTCAATTATAAATTGATTTTAAAATATTTTTAAAAGTTAGGGAATTCGAGGTAAATAGAGTATTTAAGCCCCATAAAATGTTGAAAAATAAAATTATTTCTTATAACACCCCAAATCATTTTCTACATGTATTCAGATTGAATGTTTATTGCCTGCGATTTTACTGCAATTTCTTCCTATAGCTCTAGGAGAAACAATTGAATGTTTATTAAAAATTGGTTGTTTGTATTTTCGCCCTAATGACTTAATGATTTTTTTTTTTGATAAAAAGGTAAATTTTTCATTACCAACATAGGAAACATTTACAAACATGATTAAATTACAAATAGAGCCTAGAACTACAAAACGAATCCCAGTACAAAACGCCCAAACCCAAAGAGCGAGCAAAGAACAAGCAAAAGAAGAACAAAAACCCCCTAAGAACAGCGGCCATCAACACCGCCGACCACGAACCACCACCGCCTCTTGCAATCACCGGAATCCAACTAAACGAAGCCTCCAAATAGAAAATCAAGAAGATTCCACCCTCTTCCATCATCCCACAAATTCCAAATTCGCAGCCATCAAGTAAATGAAACTCATGGGAGGAACATCCCACAAGTAATCGTGCCAACAAAAGCACATAGATGGAAGGTGGTGGTGTGACCACCTGAGCAGACGCTCTAAACACCTTCCAGGAGAGCCGCGAAATGAGGTTAGAAAAAATAGTTGTAGATGTGAAAAATAAGGGGATAAAGAGAGGCTGGAACCCAAGGGGGTAGGTAGAAGATGGGCTGAAAAGAGTCATGGATGTTGGAAGCACTGTTCTAAAAATCCCCGCCTAGCGCCGCCTAGCGCCGCCTAGGCGCTAGGCCCCAGCCCACCGCCCCGATTAATGCCTAGGCCCCAGCCCACCGCCTAGACCGCCTAGGCACCCGCCTAGGTTGCAACTCACTTAGACAGAAAATACATAACTTTCATTTTGCATTTTGTTTTTTTTTTCCAATAAAGTGTAAGAGACTGGTTGCATACTTGAATGAATAAACATTATATCCTTATTTCACATGTTTTCATTATGTTCCAATACTTCATGATATATATGCATTCTATTTTGTAGTTTATGATGAAATTATATATATTTCAAGTAGAAGTAGACACTTATTTACCTGAAATATGATAGATTTACTTAAATCCGCCTAATCCGCCTAGGCTCCCGCCTAGCCACCTAGGCGCTAGGCCCCAGCCCGCCGCCCGACTAGCGCCTAGCGACTTTTAGAACCTTGGTTGGAAGGCAACATGGGGAGAGAAAAAGATGGTAGGAATTGAGAAATTTCCGACGGAGGCCAAGGTGCCGTTAGATCCGATGCAAGAGGAAGAAGAAAGAATGGTCGGAAACAGGTGGAAGCAGAGGAAAAGGGAGAAACAGAAAACAGACATGGAAGAAATATGAGGTGTTGCCATCGACTCAGGCCCTGCTAGGGCCGGCGGTTGAACGAAATTACAAGCTCCGGTCACTCACACAGAAGATGAGAAGCACTCTCAGCCTGAGAGAAAGACTCTTACCGAAAGGGAGAGAATTGTTGAGAGAATTGCTTGTTGTAGACTCAATGATTTGTACCCTTTATTTTTATCCTTTCCAATTGTTGTAAAAAATGGACAGCTAAAGTCGAAATTCATCGTGTCAAAGTGAAGTAGATGATGCTGCTTTGGTTGATCAATATATAAGAGTAAATTGTACAAATGGTCCCTCAACTTTAATCAAATTGGAGCAATGGTCCTTTAACTAAAAATCCATTACCTTTGGTCCCTCAACTTATCAAAACGTGCAGCTATGGTCCCTCAACTAAAAATCCATTACCATTGGTCCCTGAACTTTAATTCAAGTGGAGAAATGGTCCTTTAACTTTAATCCAATTGTAGCAATGGTCCTTCCAATATAACTCGTTTTAACAAATTTTTTGACATAGTTGACGAAAAGAACCATAATTATACACTTTGATGAGTTAAGAGACCCTAATTATATAAATAGTCATTCCAACATAGCTTATTTTGACAAAATTTTGACAAAATTGATGAAAAGGACTATAGCTACACATTTTGATAAGTTGAGGGACCAATGGTAATTGATTTTTAGTTGAGGGACCATTGCTCCAATTTGATTAAAGTTGAGGGACCATTTGTACAATTTACTCCAATATATAATAGCAGAATTGAGGCATTTACTGCAGAAATGTTCTGCTATGAGAGTGTGGGTTGTATTTAGAAGTATGTGGATAGTATGAAAAAGTATATGGAGATGTACTAAGATAAATTCTAAATAAAAATGAGGATGTAGGGTGCATTTAGCAAGTGGGATGTATTCAACAAAACTGAATAAAACAACCCTTTGTTTTGGGAAAATTTTCAATGTATCGAAAATACGACTTTGTATATTAAGTATGATATTACAATTGGTTGAATATTTGTTTAAGTTTCTAATCTTGTACTATTATATTAATGTATCAGCCATGTTCCCGCAATACTAAAAAAATCTCTCCTAAGTTTCGGTGGAATTTGCGCACAACCTCATATAATTTAGTAAAGTTTTGGGTAAATTATATTTTACCATCTTAAGTTTGGGATCGATTTCAATTTCTTACAACATTTAAAACATTTCAATTTCATACCTCAAGTACTATTTTATTTCAATATAATACATCCGTTACATTTTTCTTCTATTAATCCGTTAAGATGTGACGTGGCTGCCATATTTATGTCATAAAGTTGACAAATTTGTGCCAAGTGGCAGATTTTTTTTTTTTTAATTTAAAAAAAAAAAAACTTGAATCTTCTTAAAAAAAAATTGAAAAAGCAGAACCCCACTCCACCTCCCCCGCAACCCCTTCCCACCCCTCTTCTCCCTCTCGAGCCTCCCAACCATCTCCCTCTCCTCCACTCTCTTCACCTCCCCTCCTATCCAAAAACCCACCCCACCCCAACCTTCGATGCCAGTGGTTGACCTAACATTAGAGTCCGGCGGGTCAAATCCCGACCTTGGATACTTGCTAGAAGTTTCGGACGACGAGCTGGGCCTGCCTTCATCGGAGAACTTCAGCGATGAGGCGGAGAAAACGAGTTGGTACGAGTTTCGTCCCACTTGTCCGATGGTTCAACGATCCTGTTCCGAGTTACAACTTCATCATCCATCTACATATCAATTTAACTCGGAGGCATTTGGAAGCTGTTGCTGCCCTAATCTTAATGATGTTGAGCTCTTCCTTTGCCGCAGAGGAGACTTGACTGAAATTTCGATTGTGTTTGCGGCTGGAGTCTGGTGGTACGGACCGCGGGTTGAAGCTTTATGGGTTGCAGCGACAGGTCTGTGGAGTGCTGTGAAGTGCTACTGCTATTGTGGAATATGGCTGGCGTCGTGGCGATCGAAAACTTCAATTCGCGAGGGCTAAAGGTGGGTGACCTCGTGGGTTGGGTTGCAGCGGGTTGTCGAAGTTGGGCCATCTTCAATGGAGAATGTGACCAAAACTTAGGTCTATGATTGCTGAATTTCGGCCGGAAAGCTTGGGGATCCGATCCTGTTTGGGGTTGGCGTCGTAGAACTTGACGCGCACCATCGTCTGAACCATCTTCAATTCCATAGAATCTCTCATTTAAATAGCTCAATAAATGAGAGGAGGGAGGAAGGGATGGGGGTGAAGAGGAGAAAGGGCTCGGGGAAGGTGGGGTGGGTTTTTGGATGAGAGGGGAGGTGAAGAGAGTGGAGGAGAGGGAGGTGGTTGAGAGGCTCGGGAGGGAGAAGAAGGGTGGGGAGGGGTTCTGCGTTTTCAGTTTTTTTTTTTTTTTTTTTTTTTAATTTTTAATTTTATATTTTTTTAGAAGATTCGGTTTCTTTTTAATTAAAAAATTATTTTGTTTGTCATGTGATACAAATGTAGCAGCTACGTTAGTTGTTAACGGATCAATTGATGAAAAATGTAACGGATGTATTATATTAAAATAAAATAGTACTTGAGGTATGAAATTGAAATATAAATATTTTAAAGATGTAAGAAATTGAAATCGACTCAATCCCAAACTGAAGGTGGAGATAGTAAAATGTAATTTACCCTAAAATTTTAGTAACACTAGACACCGTAAATTTTGCATTACTCATGTTTTAACAAAATGACTAAAATATCTAAACGGAAAATGTGTGCTTTGTAAAAGTTGGATTTCAAAGTTGGACACCCTCGTCTAGTCTCCTCACACGAAAACCTCTCTCTCTGATGGTTATAAATTTGAGAAGCCAAACTGCTGCCTTTTTGGTTTTACGAGGAACGCCCCCAAGTTCCCCGGCATTCTTCTTCTCTCTTCTCCTCTTCCCAGCCAACCAAAAGATGCAAACAAGCAGGAGCCCGCGGACATCAGGTCTTTGGCTTCTCTGACTTGTCTCTTACCTTCTTTACCTGATCGACAACGAAAGATTTTCAACCTTCCTCAATTTTACCATCATCTCCTCTGGATTCATTCCTGTAAGCATTCCGTTTCCCCCGTAAACCCAAAACCCAAAATTTCAACTTTTTTTTAATTTTCTGTAAATATACTGTTGTGCTTGTTTTAATTATTGATTTGTGACATAAATCCCATTTCTAATCAGCAATGCGATTGACAGTACGTCCCTGAAATCATTCAGTCCTTATGATTCTCTCCTCTCTCTCTCTCCCTCTCTCTCTCTCTCTCTCTCTGTTTTATTGTCCCACTATTTTTGTGAAGCTCTGTTTTTTTTCCGTTTATGTGCCTCATTTGTTAATTACACCATTGTTGTCTCTCTAATCACCAAGATCTTGTGACTCCTTCCCTATATTACAAAACCCAAATCTCAAATTCCCCAGATAAAAAAAAAAGCTTCTGGGTTCCAGTCGTTTCTCATCGTTCTCTCATATCTTGGTTCTCAAAGTCCAAATCTTTATGTTTCCCATGTAAAACCCAACTCCAGACTTGACAAAAGGTAAACCTTTTGTGACATATTTTATTGGGATTTGATCCGTGGCTAAAGATCTCAAAAAAAGGCCAACCCTTTTGGTCCCTGTTCTTGTTTGTAAATAATTATACCTCCTCCAAAAGGATGAACCTGGCCTATTCTCTCTCCCTTATTTAATAATTACCACAAAAATCATTTTCTCTAATATTGTAATTTTTTCTATTTTCTTTTAATTTTAATTTCATTTCCTCAAGCTTACGTTGATTCCGAAGCTGTCTCCATATCTCCTGCAACTGGGTTTTTTTATATTGCCGTTGAATGCTCCAGTTGACACTAATTTAACCTTCGTTTTCCTCTTGCTGGAAATATGTGTCAATAAATTATATTATTTTTCGTTTGATTCAGCACCCCTTTTGTTTTTCTTGACGACTTTCACTTCCCTAATCATATTTTTTTCTTAATAAGTAAATTATTAATGTGTTTTTAGATTCGGATTATCTTAACACACCTACTAAACTCGCCTTCCTCTCCATCCAGATTTTCAGAGTTGTGGATTGGATTTTGGTCCGGTGACTGGACGGCGGAGCAATGCGGACCGACGGAAGGAAGATTTCCAAGGTACCCGATTCATCTTTTGGCCATTCATTTGTTCGTTTATCGTAAATTTGTAATAGATAGGGTGCCTGTAACCGAAATCGAAACAGAAATTAAAATCCGATATCGGAATTGTTTTGTTACAGCCCTCGTGGCCGAAAGTAGTGGCGAGGAAATGGCTCAACATACCAAGCAAAGGGGACGAGTTTCATTCCGATTACTCTCCGAAATGTAAGATTTCGGTTTTTCGTGGTGTCTCGTTTCGTATCGGGTGTTTTCGGTGGTTTCCGATCTGAAGTTTGTTTGTTTGTTTGGTTGTTGTGTCAGACGAGACTGGGAGAAGGAAGAGCTGCTCGGACCAAGACCGCTATGTCAGCGTACCGGACGATTTTTCAGGTAATTTTACCATGCAACGGCACTGTACTCGTACTAGGACACCTTGGGCTCTTTCCCCTCCATCTTGCACAGGCGCCCTGATATCCTCGGAGCCGTCCGATCCACGGCTTTTGTTGTTAGTTTTGATTAGACACGAGCTGGGTCATGAATCATGATGGGCTCCCCTTGATTCTGGTTGGGTCCCCATGGAATAGTACAGAGGTAACTCTGGTTGTGCCACGTGGACGGTGAAGGATGTTAGGATGATGGAGTTTGGAGTTATTGTGGTGCAGTAACATGAACTGTAACTAGGTGTTCGTTGCTATATGCTTTCTCAAAGTAAATAAGCTTTTTTAATTTTGGGTTTTAGTCGGATTAATCTTATTTTATTTTATTTTTCTTATAAGATGGGTGTACCTTGGTGGGGAAAACAACACATAGACCGAGTTTTGGGATGGAGACATCAACTTTCACCAATGATCTCAATCTCAAGTAAGTTTTATATCACGATTGTGTAATTGTCGTCTTCTAGGGTATAAATACGTAAATTTCACGTAAGTTTTAGGGTTGTGATTTTCACACATCCTTAACTACTTTTCCCACACCCCCTTCCTATTTTTTTAGTACTTAATATCCTACTATTTAATCTTTCATACATTCCCCTCCCTATTTATTCTTTCATTAATTACCATAAAAAAGTAGGAATGGTATATATGTAAGATGAAATAGTAGAATACCAATTAACTATTAAAAAATAGGAAGGGGTGTGGGAAAAGTAGTTAAGGGTGTGTGAAAATCACAACCCAAGTTTTATATCATGATTGTGTAAATGAAGACTTTTAGGGCATAAATACGTGATAAGTGTGAATACCTACAAATAATTGGTAGTGTATAAACCCTTATACACACCATTGAATGTGTCAAATGGACCACTTAATGTGCTACTTAGTGTCATTCAATGAGTAATGATGACAGTATTTTCATGTGTTTATGCTATAGCCGGACTTGCTTACGCAAGCAATTGCTAACCAATTACAACAGTCACGTACATACTTAGGTCAATAAATACGTGGCTGCAACTTTTCTTAGATTGTGTGGTGTTCATAATTGCAAAAATGTAGGGCTTTGTCTTTTTGAAACAATGATTCTCTTCACACAAGTTTTTGTGAGGCTAGACTTAAAGAGGTCGTTTATATATTTAGAATGTTCGTGGGGACATGGAATGTTGGAGGGAAATCACCCCACGAGGGCTTGAACATGGGGGAGTGGCTGAAGTCCCCTTCTCCCGCAGACATCTATGTTCTTGGGTAAGTCTTTGCTTTGCATCTCTCTCCTCTCTCTCCCCCTCTCTCTCTCTCCTCTCAATTTGCATTCCAAATTAGACTCCTTTCTTGTATTTTTCCTTGTCATTTTAATAATAATAGTCTGAACATTGAAAAGAAGAGTTTGTGCCAATTAGTGGTCCAATCTATAATGTGCTCTTTCATTAGATCCAATCCAATATTCTTTACATATTTGGGTTCTTGTTGCAAGTTTTAGTTACGTAGTATACGGATAATATTTTCTTGTCAGACTGTTTATCTGATTATGATGTTAAAGAGTAATGCTAGAGAGCAACTATGTTAAAGAGTAATGCTAGAGAGCAACTATTGAGTCCAAATTTCGTAAACCATAAGAAGTGGTGGTTGATGATTGAACTAGTACTTAACTGTTGGTTAATGTGCGTATTTCTTGTTTGTGACATATCGCATGATTTACAAATTTGATCTTAAAAATTGATTCCTCTAGCATTACTCAATGTTAAATCATAGTTTACGATGTTAAATGATATACATTTAGAATCTGACAATATTTTATGTCCAATTATCTAAATGGGATTTTTTTTTTCATTTTTTGTGTGTTTTAATTAGGTTCCAAGAAATTGTCCCTTTGAATGCCGGTAACGTATTGGGTGCGGAGGACAAGGCCCCAGCTGCCAAGTGGGTGACGCTTATTCGTGAAGCATTGAACAAGAATGACTCTGGACTTTCGCATTATTACAGCAGTGCCACCCACACAGAACATTCTTCACAGCTTGACCAGCAATGCAAGCCTAGGCTCAGCTTCTCCGACTTGCTTTCGTTAGAAGACGAGCTTAGCGATGCGGACTTTGAAAGACTTCTGAATTTGAATCCAGCATCGACTTCAAGTGGAGAAAACTCACCAGCGTCGCCATTGATGTGTCCATGGAAGGGCAATAGTCCAAGGCAAGGACATCGTTATTGCCTATCAGCAAGCAAGCAGATGGTTGGAATATTTTTGTGCGTGTGGGTTCGTGCAGATCTTTGTAGACACATTAGCGACACGAAAGTGTCGTGTGTCGGTACAGGCATAATGGGATACCTTGGAAACAAGGTTAGTTAAATGTCAAAACACAAAACTTATACCACACGAACTGAGCATATGATCAGTGTACCACCATCGCTTTAACAGAAGCGGGATGACCTGTGTAGTTCCCGCATGGTTGGTCCAACTCCTATTGAAAAGATGGTCGATCACTTGAGATGATACAAATATATATAGTAGTGCACATATGACAACATTGTGGTTGAGTTAGTCGCTCTTAGCTATATGATTTTTTCGTGCAACAGGGTTCAGTATCAATCAGCATGACGTTGCACGGAACAACATTTTGTTTCGTGTGTGCACATTTGACCTCTGGGGAGAAAGAAGGGGATGAGATGAGAAGGAACTCAGATGTCATGGAAATCTTAAAGAAAACAAGCTTTTCTCATTCATGTAGAATAAGGGGACAACTGCTTCCTCCTGATAGCATTATAGACCATGAGTAAGTCATCGAAACCTAACCTCTCTTATTTTTGTTCATTTAATTGCCAATAATTATAGATTACAGTTGTTTTAATCCTCCAACTAAGACAATTTTGCCTGTTTTTAATCTAATGCAGCAAGGTTATTTGGCTTGGGGATTTAAATTATCGGCTGGCAACTGCTTGCTGCAGTGACACACATGAACTACTAAAGAAGCACGATTGGCAGGCACTTCTTGAGAAGGATCAGGTAAGATACTAACGTAAGTTCGTTCTACTGTAACATCTCAAATCCAAAACGGTATTGTTGGTATTTTGAATCTTACGCTCGGATTTGGTTGTTTCTTGGCAGCTAATTTTAGAGCAGCAAGCCGGTCGAGTGTTTAAAGGGTGGGAGGAAGGGAGGATATATTTTGCTCCAACCTACAAATACCTGGCTAATTCTGATCATTACGTTGCCCAATCTTCCAACTCCAGAGAGAAGAAACGCACTCCTGCTTGGTAAGATTCCTTGCATCAAATTTTACTACGCATTTCATCGAGTTTATTGAAATACAGGAGCAAGCAAGGTAGTGATCACCATCATTACACAAACATAATGTAATTATATTTTTTTATATGAATTTTTATTTACATACGTAGGCGAGACCCGTTTCACCCATATCAGAGATAAGATGAGTTATATTAGCATTAAGATCACTCATCAACAATGTAGGCAGTAAATGTAGTACATCATGTAGTTAAGGACAATCAACTTTATTAAGCTCCATATTCAATTAGGGTAATCATCCTCTTAGTCCCATAACTGACCTGTCAAATTTTATTGAATCTGTGTTTGACTCCAGGCTGCAGTTCCGGATTTTGTTTTAAATTATTTTTCAAATTGATTTTATTAGTACTGACTTTTTCACATTTTCTATTCAATTGAATTAATCCAAATAAAGCTGAACTTTTACGTCCTATATTAATTTTTTTCTAAAATTGGTGTTGCCGGTGGTGGGATTTAACTGTTTAAGCATCATTAAGCTGGGACCATTACTGTGAGAGCAGAGAAAATAAATAATTAAATAGGATATCACTTTCTAATTAAGTAATTATCAATTTTGTTCACATGAAACCGATATTAGTTTTTGGTCATCATTTTATGTTTTAGATTAATAGCTTAATTTAGGAGTCGGCAGGTGAAAAATGGACCTGTTTCCTTCATTTGGTTAAAAAAATTGAACATGTGACTTGTACAGACCATCATGTCTGTATTATCATATTCAAAACAAGTTGCTTTTATTTAAACCTTTGCTACTGCGGACGTCGGCATAACTGCGTTGAATAGAGCAGCGATGCTCTTTTATGCACTCGAGTTTGAATATATTTTTCCGCAGTTTTAAATTAGTTTAAGATATAATCTCTTGTATGAATTCGGTAGTATCTTTTTTTTCCTCTGGAAACCAACACGAACCTGAAAAACTAAGTTTAGGAAGCGTAGTAGCGTTCATAACATCTGCATTGTTCTAATTTCTCACTTCCATACGTTGAGTTTATGTTTGTCGTAGACACAGCTACAATCAGTAAATGTGACTCAAATAGTTATGTTCGATCTTATATTCTTAAGTTTAGTTCGGAAAAGAAGCTAATGTGGTTTGATATGTATATACGGCAGGTGTGACAGGATTTTATGGAAGGGGGAAGGGCTTAAACAAATGTGTTACATGAGAGGGGAGTCGAAATTCTCAGACCACAGACCAGTTTATTCGTTGTTTTCAGTCCGATTAGACTGGGCTGCCAAGAAAAAGCCCAACTCTTGCGTGCTCAAGTCATCGGCCAAAGTGCAGGCAGAAGAGCTTTTGCTACTCACCAGAGCCAAAAGCTTAGACACCATCTCAAGGTTCTGATTTAATTACTGCCAAACACAGCCCACATTTTTGAAGACCAGAAGCAGAAGCTGGTGTTTCTGGCTTTTTTTGACAGTTGTTGGGACTGAAATATTAAGCTCACAAAGGCATGCTTAAATTTTTGAAGGCATGATGATGATGAAGTTTGAGTTGTAGTGGAGCAGAGAAGCAGAAACACATAAACTGCTAAGGACTGGGGAAAGTGGGGATGGTGAGTGAAAGCAGCTTCTGCGAAAAGTTGAATTGTAAGTGGTTAATCAGCTTTTTGCAGAAGAATGCATCTTTGTTTGAGATTAAGCAGGGGGAGAGGGAACAGAGAGAGGAGGTTTATTAAGAGTTGAAATGTGTAGAAAAAAGGACAGTTTTGAATGAATGTTTATGTTAAGGGAACTGGGGGTAGTGGCTTTGTAGTAGTGTCTTTGCTCCCCATATTGTTCGCTTTTGCAATTTACTAGTGAAATAGTCGGTCTAGCCCGTATTAAACTCACCAACTTTGTAGCGCTAGATCCCCATCCAACTTAACAAAACACCACAATCGGCTTTGTTGTGAAGAACCTTTGTAGCGGCTATGACTAACAGCTCAAACTCGAATGTTTGAGTGACGACTGTTGTTGAGAGCTGAGGCATTTTTTGGGTTTCTTGTAATTTTGTAGAATTACAAAGGACTATAAAGACACTCAAAGTTTGTTAAAAGTGACCAACACCATTGCTTTTTTGCTAACTCATAACAATGTCTCGTGTTATAACTTAAATACATTAATAACAATACGATGTGAATTAAAAATAATAAAAGAAAAAAAAAGTGAATTAGTAACAATACGATCCACACACAATAGTATATGGAACTTTCAGAGCCAAGGCAAATGCCCACCAAGACACTAATGGAAACACTTTGGACCAATTATTTCCACCCAATTTTGTTGGAAAGTCCATTATAAGAAGAAAAAAAAATTAGTGTGTCGAGAATATAGTTTGATACACCAAGTGTTATAGTATAATACAACAACAACAACAATAAAGCCTTTTCTCACTAAGTGGGGTCGGCTATATGAATCCTAGAACGCCATTACGCTCGATTCTGTGTCATGTCCTCCGTTAGATCCAAGTACACTAAGTCTTTTCTTAGGGTCTCTTCCAAAGTTTTCCTAGGTCTTCCTTTACCCCTTCGGCCTTGGACCTTTATCTCGTAGTCGCATCTTCTAACCGGAGCGTCAGTAGGCCTTCTTTACACATGTCCAAACCACCGTAATTGATTTTCTCTCATCTTTCCTTCAATTTCGGCTACTCATACTTTACCTCAGATGTCCTCATTTCTCATCTTATCCTTTATTATGTGCCCACACATCCAATGAAGCATCCTTATCTCTACTACACCCATTTTATGTACGTGTTGATGCTTCACCACCCAACATTACGTGCCATACAACATCGTCGGCCTTATTACCATCCTATAAAATTTTCCCTTGAGTTTCAGTGGCATAATGCGATCACACAACACGTCGGATGCACTCTTCCACTTCATCTATCCAACTTGTATTCTATGGTTGAGATCTCCATCTAATTCTCTGTTCTTTTGCAAGATAGATCCTAGGTAGCGAAATCGGTCGCTCTTTGGTACTTCCTGATCTCCAATCCTCACCCTAACTCATTTTGGCCTCAATTTGCACTGAACTTGCACTCCATATATTCTGTCTTTGATCGGCTTAGGCGAAGACCTTTAGATTCCAACATTCCTCTCCAAAGCTTAAGCTTCGCATTTACTCCTTTCTGAGTTTCATCTATCAACACTATATCGTCTACGAAAAGCATACACCAGGGAATATCATCTTGAATATGTCCTGTTAACTCATCCATTACCAATGCAAAAAGGTAAGGACTTAAGGATGAGCCTTGATGTAACCCAACAGTTAGCTTTCGGTTTGTCCTTCATGAGTTCTTACAGTAGTCTTTGCTCCATCATATATATCCTTTATAGCTTGGATATATGCTACTCGTACTCCTTTTTTCTCTAAAATCCTCCAAAAAATGTCTCTTGGGACCCTATCATATGCTTTTTCCAAATCTTTAAAGACCATGTGTAAATCCTTTTTCCTATCTCTATATTTTTCCATCAATTTTCGTAAGAGATAGATTGCCTCCATGGTTGAGCGCCCTGGCATGAACCCGAATTGGTTATCCGAAACCCGTGTCTCTTACCTCAATCTATGCTCAATGACTCTCTCCTAGAGCTTCATTGTATGACTCATTAGCTTAATACCCCTATAGTTCATGCAATTTTGTATGTTGTCCTTATTCTTGTAGATAGGCACCAAAGTGCTCTTTCGCCATTCATTTGACATCTTCTTCGTTTTCAAAATCATATTGAAAAGGTCTGTCAACCATGCTATACTCGTCTCTCCCAAGACTTTCCACACTTTGATTAGTATATCATTTGGGTCCACTGCTTTTCTATGCTTCATCTTTTTCAAAGCTACAACCACTTCTTCCTTCCTGATTCAGCGGTAAAAGAAGTAGTTTCTACACTCTTCTGAGTTACTCAACTCTCCCAAAGAAGTACTCATTTCATGTCTTTCATTGAAAAGATCAAGAAAATAACCTCTCCATCTGTCTTTGACCACATTCTCTGTAGCAAGAACTTTTCCATCCTCATTCTTGATGCATCTCACTTGGTTTAGGTCAATTGTCTTCTTTTCCCTTGCTTTAACTAGTTTATAGATATCCACCTCTTCTTCTTTGGTATCTAATCGCTTATACATATCGTCATAAGCCGCTAGCTTAGCTTTTCTCACAGCTTTCTTCACCTCTTGCTTCACTATTCTATACATTTCACCATTTTCCTCGGTCATATCTTTGTATAAGGCTTTACAACATTCCTTCTTAGTCTTCACTTTTGTTTGTACCTCATCATTCCACCACCAAGATTCCTTTTGTGTTGAGCAAAGCCCTTGGACTCTCCTAATACCTCTTTTGCTACTTTTCGGATACAACTAGCCATGAAATCCCACATTTGGCTAGCTTCCCAATTTCTATCCCACACACGTTGGTTGATTACTTTCTCTTTGAAAATGACTTGTTTTTCTCCTTTTAAATTCCCCATCTAGTCATTGGGCACTTTTAGGCCTTGTTCTTTTTTCTCTCTCTGTTGATATGTACATCCATCACCAACAAGGGATGTTGATTAGCCAAGCTCTCTCCCAGTATAACTTTGCAATCCTTACAAGTTATACAATACCCTTTCCTCATTAGAAGAAATCTTATTTGTGTTTTTGCCGACCCACTCTTGTAGGTGATCACATGTTCTTCTCTCTTCTTAAAGAAGGTGTTGGCTAAGAAGAGATCATATGCCATTGCAAAATCCAAGATGGCTTCCCCATCCTCGTTTCTCTCCCCAAAACCATGGCCACCATGAAAACCTCCATAGTGCCTGTCTCCTTGCCTACGTGTGCATTTAAATCTCATCCTATAAATACCTTCTTCGTCTGAGCAATTCATTGCACCAAGTCTCTAAGATCTTCCCAAAATTTCTCCTTCAAACTCGTATCCAACCCTACTTGAGGTGCATACACACTAATCACATTGATGAGTTCTTGTCCTATTACAATCTTGATTGCCATAATCCTATCTCCTACCCTTTTGATATCTACAACATCTTGTGTCAAGGTCTTGTCCACGATGATGTCAACACCATTTCTTGTTCTATTTGTGCGAATACCAAAGTTTAAAACCTGAGTTTTCTAGATCTTATGCCTTAAAACTAACCCACTTAGTTTCTTGTAGGCACATAATACTTATCATTCTCCTCACCATAACTTCCACTACTTCCATAGATTTTCCCGTTAAGGTTCCTATATTCCACGTTCATAAACACATTCTACTTTCTTGAACTCTACCCTTCTGTCCTAGCTTCTTCACCCTTCCTCGTTTAATAGGATTCAAGTACTTCTTTTGTGTGTCCTGTGTAAAATTGATAGGAGCATATGCTTCCAAACAACTTTGAGTGGAGTCGTTCAAAAAGAAGTTTCTATGACCTTCTTGCTCATTTAACACTGCATCTGGGTGCCGATGGAGATATAGTGACCCTTGCTCATTTATCATTGTGTTCGGGCCACACAGCGCGCCACTTACTGGTGACGCCCTAGCTTTAGCGCGATTTCATTCTGGATTCATTTTCATAAGGATTCGACGTAACCTAGGAGTGCTAGTTGTCGACTACCTGACGCCCTCCTCTCTTCTTTTATCCGGGTTTGGGACCGGCAATGTAAGATAAACTTACACATGCGGAGTTAAAAGGCAGGGGGATGCAACACGAAGACTTCCCAGAAGGTCACCCATCCTAGTACTACTCTCGCCCAAACTCATTTAACTTCGGAGTTCTGATGGAATCCGGTGCATGTGAAAATTTTCTTTTTCCAAGTTTCCAACCAATTATATTATTACATTTGATGTACCAGACCGTGTTCTCGGCACACTGAAAAATCTTTCCTGTTATACTTAGGGTCATACCCTTTCATTAGCCACCAATTATAAGCTTCATATTCCCCCTTAAGCCTTAATATAGTAGGTAGAGTTAGATGTTTCAATTTCATCAACAATTATCTAAAGTAATGGAGGAGATGCTTCCAATTCCAATCAAAGCTGGAATGTCTATTTTAAGGTGCATAGTCATATAGTGCTACCACTCACCAAAGTATTTTTCCTCCCATAAAATTAAATAATTCCCAAAAATGCAAAAGAATATATTTCCCCTAGGTGGGACAACCTTTTTTCTTACAAATCTAATGAGATATGGACAGATGTTATGTATAACTCAAGACATCGTCATATCATGGTACGCACCTATTGTTGCTATGGGATATTGTTATAATGCATACAATGCTATATATATAAAAAAAAAAACTTGCAAGTATTCTTGTATTCTTAACATCATAAAAAAAATTTAGGTGTAAAAATAATGATTTACTCGTACAATATAAGTTGTTCAAACACTTCTAACTTCCAAGTTCTAACTGCAGCTCAGTCCAACCGTTTCAGAACGGTTCGTGTCCCAATGCCACGTGTACGGCCCCGATGCAATTTCCACGCATAGTGATCCGGCAGGTCACTCACATCATCTTGTATTCTTTTGTTCACTCGACTGCAAAATCCAAGTCCCTCTCACTGTCAGATCTCACCAAGATCTCCGTCCGTACATTATCCGGCGTGTTTTCCGGCCACTTAGGCGCCGGGAAGTTCATCGTTCACCATCTACGGATCCCACTGTCAGGTTTTCATTGAAAATACCGCTGCTTTTGATGATGCGTTACAGAGTAGGGTCTTAGGGTTAAGAGCTTCGCTTCCTGTTTAGCTGTTAAGTCCCTGTTTGGTTGCATTGCTATTAAATAAGCGATTTTCGATTCTGGGTTTTCAAAAAGTGATAATCTTTGCATTTAGAGGTTCGATTTTCGCTTCGTTTTCGACATTTTCTCGGTTGCCAAACAGAGCATGACTGATATTTGTAGTGGATCATTAATTAATTGTGTTTATACTTAATTAATTGGGTTTACAGATTTACTTATTTGTTTAATCTTGTTTGGCAGATAAATTAAGGGCAGAAAGTTTAATCTTGGAATTGGAATGTCAATGTGCATCGTGGGTGGAAGGAGATTTGTAGATAGGAGTGTAAATAGTTGTTCAACCAGGTCCCTGGCAATTGCAAAAGCCCCGGCGGAGTGGAGTTTGCAGTGAATCAACAGAAATGGTAGGTTTGATGTCTCTTTAACGAAGTTTGGCTTCCGAGATTAGATCTTTGCATGTGTTTTTAGCAATGTGCTTTTGTTATTGGTTTGGATGCTAGGTTTTCGAATGCATATGTGTTCTAAGTTTTAGTTCTCATAGCTGGTTGATGTGTTTCGCTTTTGATTTAAGGTTGTTAGTATTAGTTTGGTATTTAAAACCAAAATAGAGATTTGAATTTGCTTATTTTCGTATATGTAAATTAGTTACGTAGTGAAGTCGTCTTTCTGAGTAGTATTTGTGACAGTCTTTTCAGAATCAGGGACTTTGGATGGCAAAGGGTACTGGGTGTTTAAACAAAGGTGAGGCGCTGTATGATAATTCTTCTAGAATTGAGCCTAAGCGTTCTCATCAGTGGTTCATGGATGGTCCTGAAGTAGGGCTGTTCCCCAACAAGAAACAGGCGGTTGAAGTTCCGCACAACAATCTGTATTCGGGAATGTTAACTGCAAATGTTTCTCCGTGGGGAAATGTTCCTAGTTTTCAATCATTCTCTGGCCATTTCACTGAAAGGCTATTTGATTCTGAAACAGACCGTGCTGTGAATTTTGATGAAAGGAGCATTCCGTCTGTTGGAACGGAAAAGATGAATTTGGCTAGAAAAGTTAGTGAGGATTTATTTGGGAATGACTCCTCATTTGGTCTATCTATGTCCAATACACTAGAAGATCCTAGATCCAGTCCTAACTACGGCGGATTTAGAAAAGTCAAAGTTAGCGAGGTAAGGGACTCTGAGAATGTCATGCCTGTTTCAATCAGACAAGCTTATGATCAGGCAGATAATGATGCTGTGTTGGCGGCTCACGCTTACAAGGCTGACGACAACTCAGCATCCACGGGCCTCATTTATAAGAAGGGGGATGACAACTTCATATCCATGAGTGATACCTACAGCAGGGCAGATAACGGCTTCATTTCAATTGGGCAACCCTTTAACAAGGGGGATGAAAGCATGTCGATTGGTCAATCATACAAGGAGAGCAATAACACCCTATCAGTGCGTCAGACATTCAACAAAAGTGACAATAATATCATTTCTATCGGCCAAACCTACAACAACGCAGAGGAAAGTACCATGTCAACGGGTCATTTCTACAATAAAGGGGAAGAGAGTACTATATCCGTTGGTCATGCCTACAGCAAGGGTGACAACAATATGTTATCGATTGGTCACTCTTATGATAAGCGGGAGAGTACTATCATATCCTTTGGCAGATGTGATGATGATGATGCAAATACCTCTGCAATCTCTGGTTATGAGCTTCTGATGGGTCAACCTTTTTTTAAAACAGAAGCTGTGAATGAGAGAGAGTTGGGCAAATCAAAGTCCTGTGTACTTGTTAATATACCTCATATAACTGCTGGAAATGAAAATGTTTTGAAAAAGAAAGTTGAACATAAAACGTCTAAGAAGGTTCCCCCGAACAACTTCCCATCAAATGTTCGAAGTTTACTGTCAACAGGTATGCTGGATGGAGTTCCTGTAAAATATACGGCCTGGTCACGGGAGGTAAAAATCCTTGTCCTCATGCATTCATTTCCAGGTTAGGCTATCTTTGGTGACACATATATTCTTCATATGCATTTTAGAAGGAGCTGCAGGGTGTGATCAAAGGTTCTGGGTATCTATGTGGCTGTCAGTCGTGCAACTTCTCAAAGGCGAGTTTGTTCTGTTTTTTTATTTATTTCTTTTTTCATATTGAAGGCCAATTTGGTGATCCATTCGAATCAACAATGCTTATTAGGTAATCAATGCATATGAATTTGAGCGTCACGCTGATTGCAAAACAAAACACCCGAATAATCACATATATTTTGAGAATGGCAAAACTATATATGGGATTGTTCAAGAGCTCAGGAGCACACCGCAGAACATGCTGTTTGAAGTTATTCAGACTATTACTGGTTCGCCTATCAATCAGAAATCCTTCCACCTTTGGAAAGGTGATACACCATTTGACACTCCAAATTTTCCCATTTTCCTGGTATGCTTGTTTTATGCTACGAATGTTTTCTTCTCATGTTTGCTCCTCTTTCTCCATGTCAGAATCCTTTTTGGCAGCAACACGTGAACTTCAGCGTATATATGGCAAGGAAGAGGGAAAGCAACTTTCATGAAGCAAGCTTGTTCGGAGGCAGGACCATCTTTTGTTTTGTGAATACAAGTAATCGTTTTTGGCTGTTACTTGCTACTCACTGACGGTGACTTCCTCACTAACGCAATGGCTCAGGGTAGTTATGTCAAGGACAAGTAGTTCTTGTAAATCTTTGAGACGAACCTTACGCCCAGAATAGAACCTCCGTTTTTAGTCGTTTGACATATGATGACGGGTTGCAGTTTGTATTTTGTAACAGTCTTGAAGGAAATGAAATTTTAAGATAATTTAGTACTTGCTTTCTGAAAGATTTTTTGTCATTCTTATTGTTATTATGCAAACTGATGTAAATAGATAGACCAAAGAGAAACCTAAAACATTACTACAAGAAAATTGGTCTTCGGCATGACCGATTAAACACTAGTCACAAGCAGGGCCTGAATTAGTGACCAACTTTGCTAATCGATCTCCAAGGTTCACATCGCTCGGTGAAATTTGTTTAGAATATGTTCGTATGAGAGATATATAGATATTGGATTCCTTTTGTCATATTTTCTTTTCCATCTCCTTGCATTTCATTTGCAAGATGGTGCGATTGTGATGGCCTCAAGAGCTTTTTCATCTTGTGCTTGCTTCGTTGCCGTTAATTCATCTTCGATTGTTTTTTCCGGGGACTCGTAATCTTTGGCTTTACCCCAGACAACGAGATATAGGCCTGCGATTATGACCACAGCACCCAGCAGCCTGTAAAATGGTCAAATCATAGTAGTTTAGAGTATCGTTTTGTTAAAAAAGTTAACACATAAAGCATGCAGGAGTATGGTAATTTGTGAAGGATGTAACATGATGGATTACCTTCCAAGAAACATTTGCTCACGCAGGATGAAGGAGCTCATGACAGCAACAATAACCATGCTCAGGGGACTGAATGCTGTCACAAACACAGGGCCTCTGTATTTCATTACTACTCCTTGAATGTAATAAGCTAGTCCTGAACAGAATATTCCCTGCATGGATATTGGGTAAATATAAAGACCATAAGAATTTAGGGAAATATGCACAAATACAACAATTACAAACTTTGGGAAGAAAAAAAAGGCTAGAAGAACACTAGACATACAACTAATCAACACTAAACCATGGTTTATATAAGGTGTATTATTTGAAGGTCCAATGTTTTAGGGAGGGCCGTGAAAGATTTAAATTGAGAGTCCTCGTCTAATGCAACTTTGCCTGTATAAAAACTACAATGGGGGATTGAGCAAAAACGAGTGGATTAGTAATAGAGATTATGTAAATTCTCCAAAAGGACATTTTTATATAATATACAAACAAAGAATACTAATTGGCATGAGATGAGAACCAGTTTCTCCTCACCCCTCAGTCCTCAGCCCTTCACTTGTTAAGTTGGTAAAACACAAAACTCAGATGGGGATTTAATACAATTCAAAATTTTCTCCTGCACACACAGGTTGTGGGTGCATGAGCCGTATTGACGTATTCCGAATTATTATAAATATTGTATCGTTATTGTATTGTCATTATATTGTCAAAATGGTAAAAATACGTATTGACATATGGGTCATACGCAACCCATGAGCACAGGAGAGAATTTCTCTAATTCAATTAGAAGTGAATTTTTCTTACACTGTAACTAGCTGCCAATAATTTTGTATCCCATTTTATCGACCAGACGGCAGCATTTCCCCTTTCCATCACCAATGCTACAGCAGTTCCTTCCAGTGTGCCCAACGCACATATCCAAGCCGAAAGGGAGAGCTCAGCTGGGTACGTTTTCAGTGTGATTGCCTGCAGAGACAAAATTTTCACCGTATTTTTAAGAAGATTCTCGTCAAATAATGCACGTTCGATATTTTTCAACGTACTATACCCATCATGTATTTTAGTACCATCAACCAATCGTAACATGTAAGGAAACTTAAATTTATGAAACAGTAACCTGCAGAATCATGAAACAAGCCCAGCAGAAGCAGCCGACTGTGATCATTAGGGAACCCTTGATCGAATCTTGGAGGCTAGTAGCGGCACTTGTATGCTGTTCATGGCTAGCTCTGGTCCAAAATAAATGCAAAAGTGGACCCTTTACGAGGGTCATGATCATGGCACCTGCAACGGTTGCTACAGTTCCAACCAACTTACTTTGGCTCCGGATGCTTTTCAAATTCACTTTCTCAAGCCTGAGAGTAAAAGACAACGAGTTGTTATGTGTATCCCAACCCGAAAAAAAACTAGACATTTCACAAAAATAATCTCGGCGAAAAAGAGATACTTTGTGCATATTAGCGTACGTTACCTAAGAACCCAAGCCATTACAAAAGTAAGGGCGGGAAGAATATTGCACATAGCTGCTGCAAACGTTGCTGTTGTGTACTTCATTCCCATAAAGTACAGATTTTGGTCCAGAACTGGCCTGCCAAAGAGATAGATAGATATATAATGATTTACAAGAAATTAGGAGAAACCTTGCACAACAAGAAAGCAATTAGAAGCGTTACTCCAGCAAAGCGAGCAGCATTATCTTGATGAAGATCGAAAGCGTCATCTTCGGTCTCACTTTTCTGCTCAAGAAAAACAAACACCCTTCAGTAACGAGAGTCACACAATTACACAACTTCTAAGGTGGAGTTTTGGGTGCATGAGAGAGAGACTTGTCCAGTATGACGGCGAAAGGAGCAACGACAGCAGTGGCAACAACGTGGCGGTAGACAACGAGCACGTAGTTACTCATCCCCTGGTTTAGTGCTGCCTTAGAGAGAATATCCATGCCGGCAAGCCCAAATTGCAAGAAAACAACAGCAAAGAAAGGCTTGGCAGCCTTCATTGTTTCGACTATGCTCATTGTGCTCTGGAAACTTCAACTGTAAAATATATGCACACACTTCTCTTCTCCTGCATGAAAAAACTTATGAAACTATGTTCCTTTTTATATAGAAACTTTAGTTTACACAAACCCTAAAGATTCCCAGGGACTTAAAAATACAGGGAATCTACTAACCTATTGAAATGTCAATATTTGTCGAAAACCCTTTTTCGCCTCATATTCGATATGAGTGAGTTTTTGTGATTTACTTAGGAACTACTAATTGAACAAATAATACAGCTTAAAGATACCTTGTTAGTGCCCTCGAATTAAGTATTAAGGTATCTTTGCATGGGTTTTGGGTCACTGCTGATCAAGTGGAGTTCCTTTTTTTTATAGATGTCTAGGGAAAGTGGTTTTAGATAGTTCGATGAACCCTACTGTTGAATCCGTGTACGCAAATTCGCCCCATCTCTACATGAATTATTAGATCAAAAAAGCGAAAGTATAGTTGCGCACTTGAAAACACACAATCACCTTTTGCTTTTACGTTAAAATGACTGAAGAAAAAGTGTAACAGAATTCATTTCGTTTGGATTCCCCTATTCTGGTATACCTCGGATGGTTGATTCTCAATCTAACCTATGTAATGGTCTCGAATTTGTTCCTCGATCATGTAAATTCTGAGCTACTAACATTAGATGCACCAACTGTTTTCACCAAGTTTATTCATCCAATGATGTGTCTGTACGCATGTCAATATCTTACTTGTCCAAAGTAAATAAAAATTAGAGCGGGATTAGATTTGAATAAATGGTGGACAAACACATTATTTGATAACGAAAGTTGGTGAAAACATTATTCGATTGGATTCCCCTATTATGGTATACCCAGGATGGTTGATTCTCAATCTAACCTATGTAATGGTCTCGAATTTGTTCCTTGATCGCATAAATTTTGAGCTACTAACACTAGATGCGCCAACTATTTTCACCAAGGTTATTCATCTGATGATGTGTCTGTACACATGTCAATATCTTACTTATCAAAAGTAAATAAAAATTAGAGCGGGATTAGATTTGAATAAATGGTGGACAAACACATTATTTGACAACGAAAGTTGGTGAAAACATGAGATGTGCTCGCATTACTCAGTTGGAGGTAGCACTGTGAGTGTGTGTGTATATATATATATATATATCAGTTTAATTATTTCATAATGTTTAATAATGTGTGAAATATTGGTAACCGAAGAAAAGGCCAGTTTTACAGTCAAAAACTATGAACATCCAAAGTTCCCACTATTCATTGTTTTTTACAAACTTTAATCAATGGGCTTGTTTCCTTGTGCTTTAGCATGATTCATCTGTAGACTGGGCACTACTATTATTAAGCTAAATGGCTAAACAAACTCCTATCTGGAACCCATTAGATCATTTAGTTTAGAGAATGTGGGTCCTTGTGCCACTCAACAATTATGGGGAGTACTGTGTATGATGCTCAGGTATATGCACTGTGGCCAATTGACATACATACAATAGATTTTAGGTTCAAATCTTCTGCTTATGTCAGAGCATTTCTAACAATATCAATCTATGATGGAATACGATTCGACACAAGGTGACATAAAATCATCAACAGTTGAATAGATCCAACTCCGTTATTTTGGACTCTATGTGTTCGGTTTTTACACTTCATAATGAATTGTCTTAAGTATATTATGAATTATAGACTTAGAAGATTTAATGGTTTTCCCAATTAGAGTGGTTTTCTCAATTGGAGATATTTCCCCAATTGAATTTGTTTACCCAATTGAAGTTTGTTTACCCAATTTAAATTGTCTACCCAATTTATTATTTTTTCTCAATTGGAGAATGATTCATAACTAGATTCCAATTAGTATTAGTATTCTTACTGAAGAAGACCTTTATATGTTTATATAAATGGGCTATTGTACAATTAGAGTAAAACAATAAGTTGTATACCACTCAAGGAGTCGAAGTGAAAGAAAAGCAAAGTGTGTGCAAGAGAAAAGAAAAGAGATAAAGAGTGTATTTCTTGTTCTTGTTCTTTCAGATTTTTCGTCAAGTCTTAATTCAAGAAATTTGGCAAGATTATCCGTTGTACTCACTATTGATAGAGTGAATTATTGTTGTTGCTGCACTATGGACTTAGGCACATATAGTCAAACCACGTTAATTCTTGGTGTAATTTATCTTGGTTATTTTGTTTTCAATTTCTTGAGTTTTGTTTTGTTTTTTGCATTCTTAAACACGACATTCACAACAAGTGATATATGAGCTTGGTTTGGCTGATATTCGTTTAAAATGGAGGTTGCGACCTACTTTAAATGGGTTACGTGGAAATCAAGAGGAAGACATGCTTTACTGAAGGTGTTAAGAGTATGTCTAATGATGATTGGACCAAGATGAAGATGAGCGATGTTTTCTGGCAAAGATGTCTATAATTGCCTTTGCCAATGATGATGATAGTTCTGATCAGGGGGAGCCTGGTCAAGAGATGTTCGATCAGGGGAGTCTGTTCATGGGTGTTGCGATCAGGGGAAGCCTAGTCAAGAGAAGTTTAATCAAGAGGATCTTGGTTAAAAAAGAGTTCAATCAAGGGTAGTCTGGTCATAAGTAGTTCAATTAGGGGGAGCTTGGTTATGAGTAGTTCGATTAGGGAGAGTCTAATCATGAGTAGTTCAATTGGGAGAGCCTGATTATGATAAGTTTGGTCAATGGTGCTTGGCCAAGAGGATAGCAATCCTATTTTGTGACACCTTCCTCATGGTCTAGAGGGGTGATTATTGGGATTTTCCCGCCCATGATGAGTTGTCCTAAGTCTATTAGGAATTATAGACTTAGAAGATATAGTGGTTTGCCCAATTGAAGTGGTTTTCCCAATTGGAGTGGTTTTCTCAATTGGAATTGTTTTCCCAATTGAAGTTGTTTCCCAGTTGAAGTTGTTTACCTAATTGAAGTTTGTTTACCCAGTTTAAATTGTTTACCTAATATAAATTGCCCAATTTATATTGTTTTTCCAATTGGAGTTAGTTTCTCAATTGGAGAATGATTCATAACTAGATTCCAATTAGAATTAGTAATCCTTACTGAAAAAGACCTTTATATGTTTATATAAAGGGGCTATTGCACTAGTTTTGAATTGGAGCAAAACAATAAGTTGTATAGCACTCAAGGAGTCAGAGTGAGAGAAAAGCAAAGTGTGTGCGAGAGAAAAGAAAAAAAGATAAAGAGTGTATTTTTTTGTTCTTGTTCTTTTAGGTTTTTCGTCAAGTATTAATTCTAGAGATTTGGCAAGATTATCTGTTGTACTCATTATCGATATCGTAAAAGATTGTTGTTTCTGCCCCATGGACATAGGCACATATAGCCAAACGACGTTAATTCTTGGTGTGATTTGTCTTAGTATTTTGTTTTCGATTTTTCAAGTTTTATTCTGTTTTTCCCATTCTTAAACACAATAATCACAACACTGTGATCCAAGAAAATTATGCTAACATACCGTTTGATATAATTCAACAGTGAAGGAGAAAATAAAACAATAAAAGTTAAATGGCCTCATTCTTTGGATTAAAATGAGATTCTAAGTTCAAATTTTCTGCTTGTCCCATAGCACCTCCAAGACTCCAACTACACTAGTATATGAATGCGTAACATTCTTCATAACAAAACTTGAATACAAGTTGACACAAGAAGACGTAAATTAATCAGCAATTGAATTAGATTTATAAGTCAGGTTCTTCTGGACTCTATGATTCAAGGAAATTGTCATCACCTACCATTCGATCTAATCCAATGGTGCAAGAGAAAGGAAAACAACAAAAGTTAATGACCTCATCCATTGAATTAGATAGGTGACTACAATTTTCTTAGACCATAAGGTGCAGGAGAACATGATTGTTAGATTTATATCCCAATTTGGTGATATATGATTGATTCTGTTTGATGTAAATACACCCACTAGCAAAGTGATTTTCTCAATATAGAAAAGAACTTCCTCCTAATTTTTCCAGTAGGGTTTGTTCATAGAGATCAAAGAATAACAAGCTCATGAGTGATCAGTATATTTGTGGTTGAAAAATGGGGAATTAAACATGGGTGGCATCTGAGTAGGCAACGAAGAATCGGTTGGAATTTGATGGCAGGCAGACCAGCATTAGAATCCCTACAAGACCAGACATATGAGAGTACCACTGCAACTTTAATTTTTCATCTTTCCATTCACAAGTGCCACGATATATGAATATATGACAGCATCCATCCAGAATATGGGCCAAAGAAGAAATGACAGAAGTGGGCAGTGGAATCTGAGTAAGAGTGAGCCACAACAACGTGATTGCTATTACCTTGGGTAAATCCCACTGAGGAAAAATTGTCTAATTTCTGAATAAATACCCACCCTCGACGAGAAAACCACAGCCATGAAAAGCCTTGCTCTCTATTAAACATGCCACGTAATGGAGTGAATTTGTCCTATAACTGGGAATATCACGTGACCACTTCACATTACGGAGAGAATCCGCTCAAAATATAATTAGAATATATCTTCTTGTGTCTACAATATTCATGTGATTGGCCCATGTAATTGATCAATTAGAAGAATATGTGAAAGAATAATGAGAATGAGATGATAGGATACTCCGAGCTACTAACTGATTAGGCCAATCGTTCATTGAGCAATTACACAAAATTTATACAAGATGTTGAGAATAAATCCCAGGTTAATAGAGGAGGGATCTTGCATGGCTTATAAGTAAGTTAGGTTACTTCCCATATTACCAATTAATTTTATAGTAAAACCTCAATTTTTTTTACTTTTCATATAATATTAGAACCACAACAAACCTAAGATAAGTAAGGTTACAAGGAAATCTAAACAGCTTGATAGGCAAGCTACAAGTTACAAGCAACACACCAAATCCATTCTTGCATTGTAAGATATTTACCTGGTATGATCAATATATATACTATATACATCTGTAAATGAGGGGGTATATATCTCATTGTGTCACCGTCATATACATGGATATTCTCTAGTGATGAAATGAGTTTTGGAGATAAAAGGAGATATGTTACCGACAGGACAAAACATTTATCCACTTAATAAGCATATGACCCATTACTCGAAAGTTTTCTCCACATGGGAATATATATTTACTGACAATACAACAGATCACTTAGGTCCGTTTGGTATTGTTCTTTTTCACTAAACTTGCTTTACTTTAAAATTAAGCAATAAAAAGGGTTTGATAAAAATAAAATATTCTACTTATTTTTAAAGCAACAACCTCCAGATAGTAGTTTTTACAAGTAGCTTGTAGATTACTTTTAAAAGCTGCGTTTATATAAAGCAGAGTGGAACCTTTAATGAATACTTTAAATTCATGTAATGTCCTCATTAATTTTTAAAAATTACATTATTTATCTTTTCTACACACATTCTCTCCATTAGAGAACAAATTGACCGCCTATCACTACATATATTAACCTTACATCATTACCGTCATTACTACCATCGTTGTTACCACTACTACGACCACCATCGTCAGCAGCACCATTACCACAACTACAACCGTCACCACCACCACCACCACAGTAACTGCCACCATAACCACCATCACTTGTGTCCATGGAAGAAAATATCGAAAATATCGCCGATATATTGTCGATATTTTCGTTTTTTTTACTTACCGATATTTTAATGAGTATCCAATGAGTTTTCGTCAAAATATCGCGAAATTATAATCGCGATATTACTTATAATATCGCGATATTAGTCCAAAAATTCCTGAAAATTTGGAAAAATCTCAATTTTGAGCATAGAGGGGTTCGAACCCCTCCCACTTAACTCCTTAACGCCTTAACCACTGTACCACTTATGTTGTTGTGATAATAAGCTACAATATTTATATATATGGTTTTGTTTTGAATTCTTTTTACAAGAAACAAATTTGCACATATTCCAAATTTTTTGTGGTATTATATTTTAAATTGTGTCAATTAATTACTTAGTCAATGGTATGTGGTTTTTAATTTTTCTATTTTTTATTTGGTCACTTACATGGTAGGGCTGGAAAAAATTCCGGAAAATCCCAAACCAAACCGAAAAAGTCCCAAACCCAAACCGAAAAATCCCAAACCAAAACCATCCTGAAGTTCAGGAATCCCATCTCGAAAAATACCGAAATTTTCAATATGGGATTGGTTTCCAAATCCCATTTGTTTGGTAATCCCGAAAAATACCGAAGTATTCGGTTTCCTATTGACTTTTGGGTTTTGGTTCTTGAAAACCATTGCCATGGTTGCTAACTACTCTTCAAAATACACTCACTCTACACATAGAGATGATGAAGATAGTGAAAATTTTGAACCTCATAGGAACTCTATGTGGTACTAAGCCACTCATGTATCTTACCATGCAATGTATAAAGTGTAAAATATTGTACTAATTCATTATATATAAATGATTATGGTGTGTTTAGACTTCTTTCATTAATTTCTACATATTTTCTACACTCACAATGTTTGTCAGCTCGCTATATAATCAACTTGATAATGTTAAATCCATCATGCAATACATTTCCTTTCAATTTTTTGTGATAAACTAATAGATAATTGACTAAATAAATATCCTGCAAAGTTTCAATAAAAATTTCCAAGTTTTTCTTACAATTTCCGTGGTTTCCATGTAATTTTTATCGATATCGATATTATCCCGATATTTCCATCGATTTCCATGTTTTCGAATTACCGATATTTTCGATATTACCGATATTTTCTTCCTTGCTTGTGTCTTTGACTCTAGCACCATTTTCACATATGCACCACACCATGTTATTGGTACCAACACCATACCCCCATTGTCGTAGTCATCACCGCCACATGCCCCTGCCAATGTTGTTGTTGCCACCACCTATATTATTATATCCATTTTTTGTCATTATATACAATTATGTTATTTTATATTAAATAATGTTCAACTGTTTTATTTTACAGTTGATTATTCTTAAAGCAAATGAGTTTTTAAAAAACAAACACAGCAATTGCCCTTAGCATGTAGACAAATCTTACGTACATGAAAGGTGAAAAAATGGTTTTGCTTTTGGTCGGTGCTTACGTAAATTATTTAAGCAGGTCTTGAAAGTGAGGGTTGAGGATAACCACAAAGCCTAATGGTCAAACTTCCAAAAGAGATTTTTAAGATAGAAAAATGATAACTTTGAAAAAGGCCATGGCAAAGAGTTCACTCATTGTACACTATTGGAGTGCTTTTTTCCCAATGACACAATTTATACACATTTTTGTATAATTGACACGCCATGACGACGACGGACGTAGTACCACGACTTACTGGAAAAAAATGAGGGACATCACTTAGATCATATTTCCTCGGTAATTCTCTACCCTAACAACAACAGCTCATGTCCTCGTCTTCTTGTGTTTTTTTTTTTTTAGTCAATTCGTGTCCGCAAAAAAAAAAAAAAAAAAAAAAAAAATCAACTTCCACCAATCACACATTGCCAAAGTAAGCAAAAACACTCACTTATTGCCCTTGTAAGCACTCGCTGAATGAATAATGGAATGCATTTCTCCGTCTTTATTTTTTTTTATTCAAGTAGTTTTCTCCTTTTTCTTTGTTATACTTTATTTGCTTTTCTGGTAATGGCCATGGCCCATGAAATTATCAGCAATTGCATCTTTTGGTCAACTTGTGAAAAAATAAATAATGCAGCTTTACGGTGTAGTGGAAATCTATTAGCTAGCTCTATCGTCTATGGGCAACACATCAGGACAGGAACCCCAAAGTCCTAAAATCTTCCAAATCAAGTAAAGCTAATTTGATGCCATGCCATGCCAGCTTTGGCCAAACAGATTAAAGAGAAAACATGTGTGTGTGTTTCATGCCAAATGCACCCAGAACAGTCTAACGCCACAGCACGGCACGGTGAAGTGACTGAAATACGGCAATTTATGGAGCATTTCAGACAAGAAAACATAGAGATGTTGACATTGGGATAAGATGAGGAGATTGATCTTCGTCTTGAAAGGACATTTGAAACAAGACAATGTAGAATAGTATTACGACGACCTAGTCTCACCTTGTACCTTCTTTCACAGGCTCATAGCGTGATCCACGATTGCTAATCAAAACCCTACCTTGACTTCCCACTTCGCACCTACGCTACTTGCGGCCAGAACAAAATACTAACTAGCATTAAGTATAATTGAGAAATGCTAATCTTAGTCGTTAGTTGTCCATGCTGGTACATGACTATAAACCATTGATTGGCGTCGGATTCGCTTCCACGAATATCAATGGTTTAGAACAACCACTACCAGCATGAAAACATATGTTAGTTGTCCACACTCGTACAACATATAAAAAAGAGTTGAGATCCGAAAACACGTACTTTTGACACTCATTTTGTAGGGCCCACTACGTAATGTATTTCAACGATCTAAATCCCTTTTATTTTAGTACATCATTCATAAATCGTCCTCATAAAAAAAATTAGACAAATCCAAAACCATTAAGATATTCATTTGGAATTGATGGATTCTACAAAGAAACACTAAATTTAATCCAACGGTAAGCATGACTTTTGAGGTATGATATAAAAGATAAATGATTAAATCGTTGAAATACATTACGAAATGGGTCTCACAAAAATCGTGTCGAAATATGTATAAAAAACCTATGCCCCAAATCCTAACCCTATAAATAGTATAGTGCTATTCACACCCCTATTTTTACCTCCCTCACACCCTTGTTAATTTTTTTGCCATTGATCTTCTTCAAATTATTCAATCTACCAGCAAAAATTAAGATAAATATGTGAGAAGTGAAAATAAGTGTGTCGACTACCCCTACAGATAATGCTCAAATTCAGTCAAAATGTATCTCGCTTTCTAAGAAAGAAAGACAGGGAGTCGTAAGGATATCTTCGCACCAAAACTTTAAAACAAAGGGTCAATTTCCGTCATGGTTTCTCCAGGAAAATAAAGGAATGAGCGCGAAAGGAGAAAGAGAAAGCTCATGAAAAATCAACTAATATATAATTGACTTGCCAAAATATGAGGATCTACCATTCGCACCCAAATCAGTAGTAATTATCAAATAATGATAAAAGAAAGCGATACAAGCACAAGTAACATAGTTGTGACAAATCAGTTTTTCTCCCCAGCGCGGTGGTTGCGTTTGCCTTGAACATTTACCCATCATATCATGTTCGCCACAGTTTTCAACCGCAACACGCTGATTTTTGGGCAGCTTGAGCAGCCCCAGCTCCCTGGTCTGGTTGATTAATCTTGATTGTCTGAGGCTGCCAAAATCCAACAAATTGGGTTTAATCAAACGGTTGCCAGTGCCACTCAACTCTAGTTGGTAGCAAAGGCTCAATAATGAAGAAACAAATTCGGCACTTTTGGGGGTGACCGACAACCAACTGATCTATGCGCCCACTACCAACTTTGATTTAATTATTGAACAGAAAGAGCTTCTTTAAGCCAGAAAAGACATTCTTTTCCGTGTTTCTAGAGAAAAAAAAAAAAAAAAAAAAGTATATTTGAAGTATTATGTTAAAAAGATGAGACCAATACCAATAATTTAGTTATAGAAAGGAAACAAGCTACGTATGTATCAGGAGGGAAATGCAGCAATATAAGTGACATGGACATTATACCTCAGCCCTCGAGTCAGTATCGGCGAGTCTTTGCTTGATATCCCTAGCTATTGAAAAGAAGACCTCCTCCACATTCAAATTCGTCTTTGCACTCTGTAATACACAGTAATACACAGCATCTTTTCAGCAAAATGGGAAAAAATCAACTACTTTGTAAGTTAGAAGACACCAAGAGAAACTCACAGTCTCAAAGAATTTGATTCCATATTCGTCAGCAAGTGCTTGACCCTTTGAAGTTGGGACAGCCTGAGAGAAGTCATTTTTGTCAAGACAAGATTGAAGAACCCTGAATCACTCTCAAGAAACATACAAAGAGGGGATGGGAACAAACCCTTTTGCTTTCATCCATGTCAGCCTTGTTACCCACAAGGATCTTGTTGACATTGTCAGAAGCATGCTGTTCTATGTTACGAATCCAATTCCTAATGTCTGCATACAGGTAGAAATATAGCTTGATTACCATGCAGATGTAATAACCAAAAAACGTAAAAAGACCCTAAGAAATTAAAATAAATTCCAACAGTGTGTACAACCCTAATATCAGGAGAAATATACCGTCTTTTTTCAATTTTTTTTTTTTTTTTTTTTTTTTTTTTTTGGAAAAGGAGAAATATACTGTCATCATTTTAACAAAACCTAGATCAATAGAGATCTAGAAAGCTAGGGAGTGGACACATGATGAATGTAAGCATAGGGTGATGTAAGTGATGAAGAAGTTACTGTTAAACGATGACTCATCAGTGACATCATACACGAGCAAAATACCCATGGCTCCACGGTAGTAAGCTGCAGAGACGGAATAATTAATAAGGTTATCAAAATTCTTAGGAAATGAAGGCAAGATTCCAAAAACTATCAATCTAAAAGTAATATGACATCTCAACATCATTAACAGCTTTAGAAGTATTTTGGAGCCGCACTCAAATGGGCGACCAAAAATTAGGACTCATAAGACAAAAGTAAGAGCTGCTGCATAAACTAAATGAGCTAAGGTCCAATTCCAACTCTGACCATTTAATGTGCACACCAGTGTGACCCACAAAAATTAAAAACTGAAAGAAAAATAAGGCCTACAACCAACATATTGAAATGGCCCTAACCATCATGTTTACATAGTTCTTCCGTGCATGTCTCACAACTGTAGCAAGAAGGCAACAGAGAAGCCCTGGAATCATACAAGACCCTTCACATTCAGATTGCCACAAGCCAGCAATATAACAAATATGGAAATATCTTAAATTTAGACCAAAAACCCACTTAGTGAGAGTATTAAGTTTTTTTGCTAGCGGTCTTGCCAACAGATTGGTGCACACCTAACAAAACACTGATCCCAGTGGAGTCAATCCAAACATAGTATCACTGTAAACACACAAGACTATAGAGACACCATGCCCCTTTTTTGACAGGGGACACTAGTAGTAACAGCTTCCAACCTACTCTTTAACAATTAACTTGATCAAATTTACAGCTCCAATTGAATTTCCGAACCAGATACAAGCCCATCTGAGCTTGAAGATAGTTTGTTCTTCTAACTTAGAAACATCAAGATGCAATTTTCGTTAAAACATGCTCCTTCGTGAAGATGCATAACTGATCAACAAGCTTGCAAACACAGATGTAAGCAGCATATAATCAAACTTCCATTTAGGAGAAAGTTGGACATGGTTAAACATTCAAATTCAATGAAAAAACACTTTGAAGCCACAGAACTAACCAGTTGTAATTGTTCGAAACCGTTCTTGACCAGCAGTATCCCAAATTTGCAATTTAATTCGTTTCCCATCAAGCTCTATGGTCCTTATCTTGAAATCAATACTGTCAAAGAATTACAACTTGGCAAGATTCAGAAACCACTGCAGAAAGAAGAAATAACGAAACCTCAAGCACATTCAAGCACAAATAATTCTTACCCAATGGTTGTAATGAAACTAGTTGTAAAGGACCCATCAGAGAAACGCAGAAGAAGGCAACTCTTACCCACACCTGCAAAGTCGCATAACAAAGAAAACAGAAGGAATTAAACTCAAACTAATGGATGTGGTATACAAGGAAACATAAAACAGAATTGTGGACATGCTCGACATCCTTAATCAATAAAGATATGTCATCGGATCCTAGTAACCCTTGAAAGGCATTTGAAAACAATAAAATCATTGGTTGCCTGATGATATTAAATAGAACTAACCAACCCAACGCAACAAACATTCTCTTAAATTTGAAAAACAAAGAAGTCCAAGGTGTCAGATGGAAGGACACCTTGGGAAATATCAATGAACTAACAAATACATGTTTACAAAACTACTTCACACAGCTAGTGCGTTTCAACCATTAGTTTATATTTTTAGATTGAACCGGTTTCTCAAATATGCATATGTTGGCCAATTGGAGACTACTCAAGGTGTGGTCCCCTAAAAGGAGTCACCCGGTGGTAAAGTTCAACCTTGCAAACTTGCTAAAAATAATGCACTGATGAAAATTTCCATACAACCACGAACACATTATCAAAGGAATTATGCTAAGTGGACTCCTAAGAAAGCAGCATTCATTATATAGATTGACGCAAACATAGCTTCAAACTCCATTAGTCCCAACAGGATTACTTTGAAAATGCATATGGAATATACCTCAAAATAAAGATACCACATGAAATTTTGACTAAAAGAAAAGCTAACTTAGAACTTCAATTAACCAAATCAATCGCAAATCTAACAACTCAGACCACCTATTCGGAAAGTAAATCATTTGATCCTAGTAACCCTTGAAAGGCACTTGAAACAATCAAATCATTGGTTGCCAGATGATAGTAAATAGAACTACCCAACTGAATGCAACAAACAGTCCCTTAAATTTGGTAATGTCCAAGGAGTTCAACGGAACGACACCTTGGGAAAATCAATGAACCAGCATATACATGTTTAAGGCACCACATGATTAAACAGGTAACAGATTTAGGCTCAACTATTGGAGACTCCCCAATGGTGAAGTTCAAGGTAGCAACACTTTGCTAAGAATAATGCACTGGTAACAATCTCATTATCAAATAAATTGTGCTAAGTGGAGTCCTTAGATAGCGACATTCGCTTAATACAAAAACCCGAGCATATGCTCCAAACTCTTGTAGTCCCCCGAATACAATGAAACTATTTATTCTGAAAATGCATACGGAATACACCTGAAATACAAATAACACATGAAATGCAGCTCCAAGGAAGCTAAACTACAACTTCAGCTAACTAAATCAATCACAAATCTAACCATTTCAGCCGCCTAATCGAACGAAGAGGCTAACCAAATCGCAGCCTAAATCTTTCACCTACAATTATTACGCACATCAATCATGTACCTGGAATTAACAGCAACAAAATACGATCTACCAAACAGAAATCGAAATCACAAAATATCCTAAATATGCGCGTCATTTGCCCTAAATCAACCCTAAGATTAGAACGTAAAATTCCCAAACAATATACGATCAAACGACTCCGCAATAACAGATTCCAGTCCAGGAGATGAGAAATTTGGAGAGGGTATAAACGGAAAATCATACCGCTGTCGCCGATCAGGAGGAGCTTAATGAGGTAATCGTAATCGGCTCGAGCTCTGGCAGGTGGAGCAGCCATGGCAAGGATCCCAAAGCCACAAAAATAATAAAAAGGAGAGATTTGATTCGAGGAGGAAGAGAAATACCAGATCAGGAGAGAGAGAGAGAGAGAGAGAGAGAGATCTAAGGAGATGTGAGAGAAAAGAGGAGGGAAGCGGAAGCGGAGTCCTTGTTACGTCAGCAGACTCAGCAGCACCAGTCGGCCGTTGATTTTTTGTTTTTTTATTTGTTTTTATTGTGGTGGGGCAACAGAGTTCCTGGCCGTTGGATTATACGGGAACGAGATCTGAGAGGATGTGAAGCACGCGATTGTACTCGTGATGAGCGTCGGAGATGTTGTGAAATTGTTAGAATTTTTCAGTAGTTTTAAGTGAGTCCGAGGCAAGTTGAATTTGATAATCGACATATATAGTATTACTGATATACTAGTGTGAATTCAATACGTTGATTTCACGTTTATAAGTTTAATATATTGAACTTATGAGTGTATTGGTATCACATTTAAATTTCTTAATTTACTATAAAAGTCTGAGTTTTATGTGTTTAATTTATTGATTTCACATTCACTTTTTCAGGTTTAGTGTGGAAGAAAAAAATATTTTCTTCCTTTTATATGTGAGTTGCACATGATTTGTATAGTGATGCTAGTCAAGCATACCATGACAGTGTTACTGAGTATCAACGTTATGGTAACGTTGCTAATATAAAAAGATATTACACTGATATTTGATTAACATTGGTGATATGATGTTAATAATTGGTATTAATACATCAATATAACGTTAAAATGACGTTGATATTTGGTTGCCATATCGTCAGTTGCGTCATCCATGTCTCTTGGTTAGGCTATGCACGGTCCATCCATGGGTGCAGGTGTGAAAATTTGAAACTTGAAACATAAAATTTTACCGGTTAGGTATGGTTTAGTAGTTTTAAGTGAGTCTAATAACTATATTGTGAAATTCCGTTTTCGGATTTCACTGTTATAATCTACGTATTTGCATTATTGAGATTTTATATTATTTTTCGAAAATTTATATTAATTTATTGAATTTAGATTTCAATTAAATTAGTTACCAAGAGTGAAGTTTAGAAAATAATTATTTAAAATTCGTTGACCTTTCGAGGTCACAAGTAACGTTTTTGAATAGATCTTGAAACCACGAACGTATGGACGAAAGCCGTTTGCGAGTCCGGATTCTAACGGTATAGTTATTGACATTTGAAATCATTTACTAAACAATAGTTTTTAATTAATTAAAATCCCACTTTGTGGGAAGGAGGCCCAATGAGAAGAAGAGAGGGAAAGGCAAGGGACCATCAGAAAAAGGAGAGAGAAGGAGAACTATTGAGAAGGAATGAGGGGGAGTGGACGGAAAAGAAAAAAAAAATTTAAAAAAAAAACAGAAGAGGGAAGGACTCTCTCTGATCTCTGTTCTTCCGGGGAAAGGGGATGAGTCTCTCTCTCGGTTCACACACTCTCACCTTTCGATTGATGCTGATGTAGATTCGATGGACTCCATGTTGGTCCAATCACTCTGATGCCTTTCAGTTTAGCAAGACTACCAAGAGATTATACATATAAATGGTGAGTAGCATAACAGACGGAAGGCTATAAAATGTGTTTGATATCCATGGGTTAATTCCACATGTCCTACAATATCTGTTGTTCTACGTTTGTGTGTGGTATATGGTTTGTATTGTATAATTGGATTGATGTGATGAAATGCGAGGGCTAGTAGTAGAACATTAACCCATTGTTATAAGGTTTGTTACTTCGAAACATGTTTCAACCCTCGTATCATTATTTCATTCTCGTTTCGTTGAGTCTTTGTACCTTGAAGAACTTGATCCATGTATTGTTTCATTGATTGGTGTTACACATTCTACTCCGCGATTCCGTTGAGTGATGGTCTGGAATTGTATCCTGATCTGGATTCCATTGAGTGATGGTCCAGAATCGTATCCTGGTTTGGATTCCGTTGAGTGATGGCCTGGAATCTCTTCTACTCTGCGATTCTATTGAATGATGGTCCAGAATCGTATCTACTTGGATTCCGTTGAGAGATGGTCCGAAATCCCTTCTACTTCGCAATTCCGTTGAGTGATGGTCCAGAATCGTATCTACTCGGATTCCGTTGAGTGATGGTCGTATCTACTCGGATTCCGTTGAGAGATGGTCCGGAATCCCTTCTACTCCGCGATTCCGTTGAGTGATGTTTCAGAATCGTATCTAATGGTTATCCATTGTGCTCCGCGATTCCGTTGAGTGATGGTCCGGAATCGTATCCACTTGTATTCCATTCAGAGCTGGTCTGGAATCCCTCATACTTTGTGATTTCGTTGAGAGATGGTCCGGGATCGTGTTCACCTTGGATTTTATTGAGTTTGGATCGAGATAGCTTCAGAGTTGTTAGAGTTCCTTGGTTAAATTTGTGAAATGATATGTTACTGCATTCATTGATTAAACAATTAAATGCTAAGATCATGTATCTTTGATTCATGATTAATTAATTGATGTGATTGTGGAATGACGTTGGGTATGATTGAGATTATTATGATTAGAGTAATTGATTAATGTGAGTTGGGAATAACATTGTGCTTTGTTGGTTCTTTGATATGTTACATACTATGATTTCCGGTATTATGTGAAACAGGGTGATTTATATGATGGATGAATTGGAAAGCATCTGTGTGAGAATGGGTTACATGCGTGTATGAAAGATGATAATTGTTGTTGACGTAAGGTTGATGTGTAATATGGTGCCTTATGATTTTCTGTTAGAAGTATTTTACGGAAAGATTAGAGTTGACGATTATGGAACTACGAATGGCTTGATCCCTATTGAGGGTACGTAGGCAGTCTAACGAAGAGGTTAGATGCAGCCATAAAGTAAACGAAAAATTACTTTGCAATTTGATTCTTGAGTTGTGATTTGCCACATTCTGGAGATGGGGTATGTAAGAGATATGAGTATTTGGTAACGTCACTTGTCGATCCTAGACGTATGTCGGGATCGGGGCGTGACAACTTTTATGGTATCAGAGCTTAGGTATTAGGTCCTCTTACCTTTACATTAGTGTAGGAATGATTTTTGGGTAATGTCATGTGTAACTTTGACGGGACGCTACATAAGTGTTTGATCTTGTTGGTTTGAAGCATTGTGTTGTTATGTGACATTGCTCTTAGTTGGTATCGTTGTGTTAAGCTCATGTATTGTGCTAATTTATTCCGAAGCAGAGTTTCAGTTGATGAATGTTGATAGTATGTGAATAAGTGGTCTGGTTAATTTTTATTTAATCCTAGAAATGTGGTGTGAAATTCACATGCATCATTATTACTTTCAAATAGTAGTTAGAATGCCTTTCATTTAAATCATGGATATGGATGATTGTGAAATGGTTGTGTTCGTATGATTGAATGGGAGAAGAAATTTTTTTTTAAATATCATATTTCATATTATAGCTTTAAAGATGAGTGTTTGATTAAAATCTGGTATGAATCTTTAATTAGGTTGATATTATGTTATGCAATCTGAAATTTTTGAATGTTAAGATGATTGTGTAATTGTGATAAGTATATAGAAAAGTCGTATTATATCTGTGCAATTGAGAAATGTTGAATAAGGTGGAAAATATTGTGGATGTTGATTCGGGCGAAAAGGTCGTGGAATGTGGAGGACTGTTGGAATGGGTAAAATGACCCGTGGAATGTGAGCAATGGATGGGTGGGCACAAGGACCCAATGTTTCCGGGAAGAAGCTCCATGTGTGAGCTGTGAGAATGAATTATTAAAGTGATAAATATGTGTGATGTGTATTGGCCTGGTATATTACAATCTTTTCCAATCTACTAGTTACTTATGGGGATAAAAGAAAAAGGTGATGAAATCATTGTTTTGCCAATGATGATTATGACTAGAAATTTTAAAATCTTATGGCCATGATAATTATGGTTGGAAATTTTAGTATTTATAAAAGTCACGATGATTTTACAAACGAGAATGAAAGCACAACCCGAGGCTATGATTGGTTTAATATATAGTGGTGAGTAACTGTGATTTGAATTTCCAATGCTTTTGGGTGGAAATTATGATATTTGATTTGCCAATTCTGATGGTTTGGCTTGGAATTCTGATATCTATTTGTCCAATGAAGGTTATGGCTGGAATATATGATATTTATTTTGCTAATGATAAATATGGCAAAAATTTTCTGAGGTTGGTATTGCTAGCGAGTGTGGCTAGAAATTTTGAAAAAAAAAATCGTGATAACGACTGTGTATAGTTAATGATAGTAAGTGGTTTTACCAATGACTGTGGTTATTATGCTAGTATTTATTTAGCCAATAAGGATTGCAACTTGATGTTTAATAATTATTTTGCCAATGTGTATGGCTATAAATTCTTATAATTATTCTGCTAATAAATGTTGCTGGTAATCTAAGTATATGGGTGAGAATCATGATGATTTTCGTTGATTTATTTATTTTGAGCTTGACTAAACTCATAGGCTGAGGTTATGACTTTATTCACTATAAATGGAATGATGGGGAAAGTTTGTAATTACAAATTTGATTGGTTTGGTTGCCAGAATCATGAATATATTGGTGAATTCTTGTTAATAGTGGCATTCTTTGTGATTGTGCAATGGGATGACGATGATTGTATTTGTGAGTTGACGTACAATGTGGTTGAACTTGAGTTAGCTCAATCTGGTTATGGCTGAAATCTGAACCTGTTTGTGCATTACTATTTTCTTGAATTGTTGCATTTGTGGATAGTGATTTGATAATGGAAATTTCGAGGACGAACTCTTTTTAGGGGGGAATAATGTGAAATCCCGTTTCCGGATTTCACTGATATAATCTACGTATTTGCATTATTGAGATTTTATATTATTTTTTGAAAATTTATATTAATTTATTGAATTTAGATTTCAATTAAATTAGTTACCAAAAGTGAAGTTTAGAAAATAATTATTTAAAATTCGTTGACCTTTCGAGGTCACAAGTAACGTTTTCGAATAGATCTTGAAACCACGAACGTATGGCATAAATTATTTGCGAGTTCGGATTATAACGGTATAGTTATGGACATTTGAAATCATTTACTAAACTATAGTTTTTAATTAATTAAAATCCCACTTTGTGGGAAGGAGGCCCAATG